TACTGCGCGAGCTGCACTGGCTGCCTGTGGCCTTCCGAGTGCGCTTCAAGGTGTTGATTATCATCTTTAAAGCGCGCCATGGCATTGGACCTGGTTATATCCGAGACCGCCTTCTGCCACAGATTGCCTCCCACCGGCCGATACGCTCCCACAGAGAGGCCCTCATCAGGGTGCCGTCAGCCAGACAGTGTCGGCTGGCAACTCCCAGGGCAAGGGCCTTCTCTGTCGGAGCACCCACCCTCTGGAACGAGCTGCCCCCAGAGATCCGGGTGATTCCGGATCTCCCCTCCTTCCGCCGCGCCCTTAAGACCTGGTTGTTTCAGTGGGCAGGACTGGCCTAGGGGTATTTTAAATTGGTTTTAGCCAAATTTTAGTAGAAACGGCCGATTTAAATATTTATTTTTAATGATTTTTTAAAGCTTTGTATTGTATTGTATTAAACTGTTTTTAACTGGCTGTAAGCCGCCCTGAGTCCTACGGGAGAAGGGCGGGGTATAAATATAATAAAAATGAAATAAAATGAAAAAAAAATGAAAATATAGTCAAATCGTTGTTTGTTTACCCAGTTTTGTTTTAATAGCTTCAGTGGGTTCTACTTCAAGAACAATGATTCCATCCATAGGCCTTGCTTCATAACTGGAACTACAGATAAGCCACACATGATGTGCTCTTGATAAACACAGTCCCACAATTTTATGCACTAGATTACAGGAAGCATTTATGTAACTATGCATTCAAATGTATTATCTTGACCACCGAGACTAGTTCAAATGCAGCCATGGATCTCTACTTCACTAAATGCATATATGGGAAAACCTTAAAGCTAAATTTACATTTGTGCTTTTAATGAAGTAGAGATCCATGGCTGCATTTGAACAGGAAAACATAAGGGTTAGTGGTCAAGATAATAAATTAATTATGCTCAGTCTAGTGGTGAAGGGCTTAGGCTAGTTCAAGCTTAGGTACAAAGAGCTGGATGACTTTGGGCCAGTTACTCCATCTCAGCTCTAGGAAGAAAGCAAAGGCAAGACACTTTTGAAAACCAAGAAAAATGAGGGGACTTGTCTAAGCAGTCACCAGGAATCAATGTTGACTCAAAAGTCACCAAACAAAAAGCTATAAGAAAAGCTTAAGCAAAATATCCAGATCTAAAGGAAATGTCAGCATCCCAATCCAAGAACTCAAAAATAAAATATCAGAATAAAATATCAAAACCAAAGGAA